TTTGGATTTTCGGCTATCCAGGGACCGTCCCTACCAAGCCTAAAAGTTTTTTTCGGCCACTCCAATTTTTACCGTCACTCAGACAGATAATGTCAGCTGTCCCAATTGTACATACCACCGGTTGTGATTAAGCGGGGGCAACCGGTGTGCTCTCATCACCGGAAACTGTGGCATTTGGCGTGAAATTTTTCGATTGAACACTGGACATGCCGTATATAAGATCTTTTTAAAAATGCGCATGTTTTATCACCTTTATTTCATTGACAGTCGAACCGAGGATTGATTTATCACTCTGACGAAGAGTTTATCAGTTAGCCGGTAGGGTTGATCGGGAATCATTTTCGCTTCTGTTATGAGGGATTTGCTTCCTCGGGGACATTTCGCATTCGAGAGACATTTTCGAGAACAAGGGGTTTTTTCTGACAGAAGTCTTCTAAAAGTTATGCAAAATCGGCTATTTACCGTTCAGCGATAGACTTCATCGTCAAAAAATTGATCATAGACATATGTGAAGGAATATTTTTGCTGGAAATAATTTAAGCCCAGGGATAGACTGATCAGTGAACGCTCTATTGTAAAGTTAACGCATTGTTTGTGGATCGGATTAGCCAACACTTCAGGGGGGTTAAGCAGCGCCAGTAATGAATCATCAAGGTAAATTAGATTTTGAGTAATTTGAAGACAATGCCTTCTGACGAAGCTACATGGCCATCCGTTTTTATTGCCCACAATGAAACAAAACACAACCACTGATATGATGAATTTCGCATTCTGAAGACTTTTGCGAGTCGCCTTAATTGAGCTCCATTAGTTTGGCCCCCAGATCTTTATCTGTTTCATTGAGGACTGCTATTTATCTCTGCGGATCTCATCCCTTGAAAGGAGGATAGGTTGGGTAATAAACACAGGTACTATTTGGTGGAGCTGCGCATTTGTCCGCTGCACTGACGGTACACAATAGTTCCTGACCTTAGCGCTGGACTAAATCACGTTCAAACGGAGTCTCAGCTATCAGGACAGCTACCTCCTGGTCCGCAAGTGATTGTATGCGGATTTGCACGTGTATCTGTGCGTGTGCGCATGTAAATATGTACGAGTATACATGTGTGTCTGTAGGTGCGTGCCTATGTGTACGATTTCTTATTGTTTGCATAAACCTAGTTAAATATCTCAGCACATTGAGCAGTTCGGTATCAACGACTATCATCGTGAGGACGTGATCACTTAACTGCTGAACTCCATGCGGATACATTCTGCGTTCTACTTATCAGTAATGCATCCTGGGGACTATTCTAGGCGAACATTACTGGGTTCAGCTGCTGAATTTCCCTATCTGTCACAGTAAGGCCCCGCATGTTGCGGAGTCTCAAACCTAAAACGGTGCCAAGATTGACCTTCTCTGCATAAGGTTGTGTTTGTGGTGAACAGCTCTCCGAAGAATGGCACTGCCTAGTTCGGCACTGTCGCTGGTTTGAGTTGCCGATCATTCTCTTGTATTTCATCCGCTTTGTCTCAACTGGTCCCCTATATAATACAATGGCTGTATCACGGGTGGTTTAGATCGGTTGATTGTAACCAGGACTAAAGTTCGCATATAACCATTTCCTCACATTTGGGATGACCTCAGGTGATTAATAACTACAACTGGTGAACGTAATGAAGCAGTGGAATAAGAGTGCCACCTAGCTATCAGCAGTAATGACTACTGGCACTTCCCTTATGGGAAGAGGACAAGTGCTCTCAGAGGCCTATTGCTCATGACGCATCTGTTACCCCATCTTAAGGGTCGACAACACCTGTCACTAGTTGCTAGTCTATTTTGTTCAACTAATTTCTTCGTCGCCATACTAATCTGACCCCTGCCCAGATATGTGAACTCGTGAGGGTTCCTTCCATATTTGATTGAGGGTGATGGGGTATTGATCTTTCTGCAGGCACACTCGATCAACGACATATCAGTGAAAATCCTGAGATAAAAAGGCCATATCCACTACTTCGTAAAGGCGTACCACTATCCTTCTAAATAACGAGGGGCTAATAAAAGAAACCCTTTAGGTCCGATCTCGTCCCCATGCATAGCTGACCAAACACGAGTTAATCAAAATCGAAAAGACCCAGTAAGACCATTGGAAGGCTTGAATTCCGCCTATTGTGGATCTGAAACGCATTTTCTTGAGACCAGGCATCCACATATAGCCACTAAGACTAAGTATCTTGAGTTGTTATAGCTGTTTTTACAGTTAATTGCGGCCGAACATTAAATATTGGCCTGTAAAGCCTCCAAACTTTGACGGATGAATCTAATAACCAGATCGATCACCTGCAGCAGCTAGGTTACGATAGAAAGAAAGAGATACGTAATCGGTTTCGCGACCCTAAATCAAACACGGTAGGCTAATCAAGGTAGTTTTAAACAAACTGATTCTGTTTTTATGAATCGTGATTCGGCTCAAATGAAGCAGGATTACGTCAACCGTTTTACCCTGTCTGGCTGCTTGACTTGGAACCCTGTGAAATCACTCTGTTTTTCTTTGGTGTGATCTAGACTGTTACTTTGATGGTTCAACGTTGTGAGCGACGAAAAGCAACGATGACAAGCTACAAACTAAAGCTTATACTTTCACTCCAAAGAATAACAGCTATGTTGCTTGAATTCTCCACAGTACCAGTGCGATTGGCCTGGGGTTTCTTGAACACCCGAGTGTCAGGATTTCAGGCATCAGTGGCGATAAAGTTCACAGAGCAATCGCTATCCACTTACCGACTATCACCAATAAAACGTTTTACCTCAAACGGCAACATATCCTTGTATGAGCAGGTCCATGCTGTGGACACATTCACCTTCTGGATCCGTTATTCTTCTTCAGAAACGTTCTGGAGACGTGCAGTCTATAGAAAATTGTGTGCGGATTCGTTTGTAGAGCATACCATCAGCTTGTCTGGTCCAATACGCAGTTCCACAAATCACATTATGCTAACTACAAAAACAAATGCCCTGAGCCTGACGGAGAACGCTTACATGATTCGAAAACAAGGATATTGTATCAGAAGAAACTTGTCTCTTAAATGAGAGAATTCAATCCTTCTCTCCCGATAGATGTATCGGATACGAATGACGACAGTCAGGCAGGCGGAAACACATTATTCCAGATGCCTTGACTAATCTGGGGACAACAAACTTAAAGTAGGGTCCTTTTTGATCTCTCATCTTTACCGGTACGAGTACAAAAGGCGAATCGAGACTAACTCGCTCAGAAAGCCGGCCTTATCGAAGGCGAATGGTAGAGCAAAATAGGGAAGGGGGTTTCAAATAACTTGCTGCTTGTGGGAGCAACGAAGTTTCCTTGAAATCAGTCTACGGCTCAAACATCAGACCAGCATTCCAGCATCTGATACGGAACTGAAGCAAACAAATATCCGACGCAACCTCTTCAACAAGCCTCTGAATCAACCGACAATTCTCCAATGAATAGAAGCAGGTAGGCTGCCTCAAGGAGGAAAGCAACTAGTTCTGGATCTTCAGAGATGCAACAGGCGAATGCGTAATGGCAGGGTAGCTGGAGAATGAATACTTGCAGCAAAAAGGGAGACGCAACTTTGGAAAATGCAACTCTTCCACTGACCAAAATAAAATTCCATACCTCAAAAATGCCTTGATCGTGTCACTGTTTGGAGGAAAAGGGCAAAACATTTTCACCTGATAACTACACAGACAGTTGACTGTTGAGTATGTGAGCAAATGCCCCCAGCAATTTCTTTTCTAAAGCCTGGTAGCTGAGGCCTGATTGATCCGGGCGTGCATCCCAAAAGAACGATGCGCCTTCTGCGCTGGTCAGAGCATGAAAGCTTCAAGAAATATCCGACAAACAACTCCCACAGCTAAATAACATTTTCGCAGACTACGCAGTGTTTCGGCTATGCCAACCATAGGAGAATGTAAAGAGTTCATACTAAATGTGGCTCTCTGCCGAAATTAGAGATACTCATGCGAGACTTTCATACAGAAGGAAGCGGAACAAGTACGCAAGCGAATGGATCGACTTGAAGCAAATTGGAAAACCTTTCCGATATGGGTCAGGTGAGTATTCTTGCCCACATTCTCCTCACGCTTTATCTAACAGCCTTCATGAAAGTGCCTTTGAAAATGACAATTTCTGCTTGTGGCTCTGCTTCAGAGCGTCCTTTAAGTATACATCTTCACGCAAGAAGTCAGGTTCATTAGACTAAGGTTCACATTCGTGAATGATCGTGCGCTGTTTGCTGTTGCTTCGCGGTTGGGCCGGTACATCAACTGGTGTCGCACTTTTGTTGTGTAGGTGGAATTTACGACACCCATCTCACTGAAACTGAGGTTGTCGACTACTGTGCGGACTTCTGTTCTCTCCCTCTGTGTCACACTATCAGTTTGCCGTGAGCAAGATCTTCTGTTGCCATGGCAAGTGCGGTCATCGGTAAACTCCAGCAAAGGACTGCAGAAACCGGAGCCTCGGCCCGGAGACCAAAAGGGAACATATCTGGTCTCCGATAATGAGATGACATGACCTTGTCAAACGTCGTGTGTGTCGTGCAAGTCGAGCGATTCTAGTGTATCAGTCGTAAGTACATGACTGTGAGACTATCGTCTTGTTCTTACGGTCCTGATAACGAGACGCCTGATTTAAATGGTTGCAGGGTATATTTACAGCGCCTGTTTCCATAGATGCGATTTATCGAATCGATAAACGGTCATAATGATTGGTCAACGTTCAAATGGCTGGACTCATGGGGGAGAGTATAACTGTGCACTAAATGTATAGACATGACGACTGTCTTTTAGGCTAATCAGGCACAGTACCCCCCAAACGCTTTAAGTGCGTTGCTTCATTTGAAATGGCTTGATTGAGGGAGCACAACCAGTTTTCGAACAGTGTCCAAAAAGAGTATTTTTATTACGGAACTGTAAAAGTAGTGTATGATGACACACTTTTCCCGAGTGTGTATCTACAAAACACCCCAATATCATGACCAATAATGAATTTTGTGTTACAGACAGCATCCCAGTACACTGCGGACGAAACGCTTTCGATGACAAATGGGCCGGTTTATTCACGAAGAAGTCATCTTGGCAGCTGCTGAAGCGTATTGTCGGTGGAACTGAGTCAGCGTATGGAGAATGGCCTTGGCTAGTTTCATTCCTAATCTACCAGAACGCAGAACAGGTTCGAAGTCACAAAACTCGGGTGAGGGGCCTGGACGAAATATTTGTACCTCCTACAATGCTGACAAATTATCCTGACGGATCGAGAATGTTTCATATATGTGGAGGCACGCTTATCCATCCAAAGTGGATCATATCAGCAGCCCACTGTTTTCGGTAGGTTATAAGTGTTTTGAAATGTCAATTAGTTTTCCGACTTGTCCTTAGTCTAAGTGTCACTTCCTCGTTAGGTCGATCTGCGTCAAGTGTAAAAAACTGATGTGCCATTAGGAGGGTTTATAGCAAGCACAGTCACAAATGCATCTTGAAAAGACATTAATCATGCAAAATAACACACAGCTAAAAAGTTTACAAAGCGTGCTTCCAGCAACTACAGTAAACTTCCTGTTCAAACGGAACCCATCCGTTAATGTAAAATCCACCAAAAGGGGTAGGGCTTAATACACTACTCATAAGGTTGCTGAAAACTCTTCGACAGTCCACGACCGGTTTGCACATCCTGGAGCTCATCAGGAAGATGCAGTCCCGAGTTTCCGTCTACTTAAACCTAAATTGCATAAGATTAGTGAAATACACTCATGTGAATAACATTTTGGTTTTGACGACAGACTCACCTGGCCTACTGCCGTGGCCAAATCATCGCTTGCGCACAAACTGAACCTCAGCAGGTGGGCTTGGATGGATCCGACGAATGAACACGTGATTAAAAGTTTCAAGATAAAACCTGCGGACAGCGCATTTACCGACCAGTCTGTGCAGCGGGTGAAAATTCTGGGCAAGGGCGTCAGTAGTATTTTAAGGTGAAATGTGACTTTGAAAACATGAAATGCGGGGGCGAATATGGTTAATTAGCTGGTCCGTCTTAAGTGGCACCTCCACAAAAGCCTCATACAGTACACACCAAAAACTAAACCAATACATAGTGAAAAAAATAGTTCAGAACCCGAGTCCTGCCTGGCTGTGGTTTAGTCTGAGTTCTAATAACCCTGTTAGCTAAGGACGCCTCAGTAGGTATCAGCTTCATTAAAACGCGCCGCTCTTGTGAATTAGCTAGGAAACCGAAGCAGTATTATGAAGGAGTCATAGATCATTCACATTCTGTCACGTTCCATAGGACTTAGCTAATAGGGGTTTACGACCTTTCGAAAATAGTCTACGGACTAGGCATGAGAATGACCGACGATTTCCAGGATCTGGCAGATCTGAGGCAGACGGATATGATGAACAAGCACTTTACCAGACTTCTGAAGCGATTGACCATCATCGGCTGGACCGTAATTAAAAGGCTGTCTTGAAGAGAGACACACCGGTCTCTGAACCTTTCTCCGACTATCTGAGAGATGTGGAAAATGAATACACAATTGCGGAATGACAGTGCAACTTGCAGCAGAATGCTTCAAGAATGGTGACCCGACTATGGGGGTTTCCCTCCTAATCTGGTTTAGAATTAAAAAAATGTACTCGTGCGACAAGGTATCCTTCGTAAAGAAAACTTCTGATAAGGTTGCCGAAAACCCTTCGACAGCCCATGACCGGTTTCGCCCTTCTTGGGGCTCATCAGGTAGGCGTAGTCCCCGAGTTTCCGTCAACCTTATGATCTGCTTGGTCCCAAATTGGTCTGTTTTCGAGAAATACACTCATTTGCAAATCAATTTGGTTTTCACGACAGAGTTACCGGAATCTCTCGTTTATGATATTCTACAACTGAATGTGCTGCAACCTTGTGAGTAGTTTCCTTTATGAAAATATACTGCGATATCTGGAATATCGTGCCAATTGAAACATGAGGCGGCCTGTGTGCAGCACATTCAGTTGTAGAATATCACAAATGGGAGATTCAGTTGAGTCTCTCATGAAAACCAAGTTGATTTGCAAGTGAGTGTATTTCTCGAAGGGTATCCTTCAGTTTTTAAGCAATTTCCGAAGGCATTTTTTTATTCAAAAAGGTCTTTAACAACCTCGTCTCAAGATGATTATATTAAAGCTGAAATCTATGGTTTCTATTGGCTAATCAGTTTCGTGTCAAACTCTCACTCTACTGTCAACGCAGAAGGGTTACCCTGATCTTCAGTCACGGTATACAAACTGGTCCGTGCGGAGCCAAACGCTCATCACCTTTGGCTATTGAAGCACAAATAAAAGAGCATTATTTCCCAAGCTTGCATCCAAACACAGATCGTAACTTGCACGTATTCGCAGCATGGAATTTCCTCAGTTTAATTCACTTTTAAGGTCACTGTGGGAGTTAAAAAAAGATTTTGTCGTCTGCTTCCGTAGATAATGAAAAAACATTATTTCAGCGTTCAAATGCACTGCAGGTGATAAGTAAGGGAAGAGATTTGCCTTAAGCACTTGCTGACTGCATCGAATTCGTGCAAATTAGAGTCTCTGTTTTTCTGCTACTCATGATGGTCATCAATGCCTTTTAATACAGGCCGAATCCGCAATACCCGGACTTATCACCACAACCGGAACGTTGGCTTGCTCGCGTTGGAGAGCATGATATGTTGGACGAATCCGTACCACATTACGACATGACTGTGAAACGAATAATCGTTCATCCAGAATATACTGGTAAGAAATAAAGACCGCCGTGTTTTAGTTTCAGTTCTCATCTGCGTTCTCCTCATTTCCTGCAGTCCTGTTAAGTATTGACACTCAATATATCATTAGGCAATAACAGGAAATACGCGCTTATTCACTTTTCGAGACACAAGGCCCTTGAGAGAGTGACAAAAACGTTCCCTGTAATAATCATATTACTCCGTCAACAAATTGATTGAATCTGACAACAGTTCCGTTTAATAAGATTATTGTTGGTTCACAAAATGCACTCTGACCTGCAAACTAATTTGGCTTGATCGAGAGATCCAACTGAATTCCAGCTTCATCCCTCTTTTACGATGAGCTTACTCAACTGAACATGCCACACAAGGTTGCCTCATGTTTCAGTCGGTTCGATATTTAAAATATCGCAATGAGCTATCCACGCTATTGTTAATGTCCCAGTTAACACTTCGACAGCCCACTACCGATTCTGCCCTTCCAAGGGCGAAACGCATTCACTTGAGAACTGATTTCGCATGCCTGAGAATAAGGATAGGAAAATACCTGTTATATAACTTATGTCCTGCTATTAAAAAAAGAACTATTTTATGGGTACCTGTGGTCACAGGCTATCACTGCGCATTTGGGATCAACCAAACAGAAGATTTTGAAAGCTTGTCCACTTCACTTATTTCGTCCAAGACACAAACAATCACCATATCCTGGTGCTTTATCCTGTCTGAGTGGGAGTTAGGCACCCTGCCCATCAGTCACTTGCAGCTCACTCATTTAGTGTTCAAACTGCTGGCCGGGGAGTTGCGACCTCCAAGCTCCCTGAAGTTATGTGGGATGAATAAATGTGGTGATGGTTACCCACGGAGGTAAGACAGTGCTTTTCGGCTTTCCAGCGTATATTTGGCTTCATTTATAGTGCAAAATCTCCATCGACAATAACAAGACTTACTGCAAAGATACACATGGGTCAAATGAGCGATTGTATACCGTGCTGGAAAGTCACGCCCAAACAATTCCGCACGGCGTTACGGCCAGAGCCCAAAAAGACCTTGTGCTACCGGATGGTCAGAGCTGGAATCTCCATGAGGTAGCGTACGGGGATGCTTAAGCCGGAGGCATTGATCAAAGTAGAATGGAAATGCAGATAAGGATCGATGAAAATACATACAAAAATAGCGTATTCCCACTCAGCTTGAGTTTGTTGTACTTACCACTTTGCAGGAATCACTTATGATGTGCGGAGCAAAACCCTAGATATGTCCTTAATTATAAGCAAAACAAAAAGTGGTACTGCGATGAGTAATGAGACTAAATCAAAAGAGGGCATGTAGTAACTATCCATCTTATTTTCTTAACATTGTCCAAGAAAATGAACGTATCTTTTAGACAAACGTTGATATTTCTCTTTAAATGCGTCCCAGCAGATTGATAGACCACTTCGCCACAGAATGGTACAGAGATTTGGACATGCGTGGAGTGGACTTTAAAGTTTGACCGGATTGATACGTCTTCGGCAAAACATATAAGTGGGGCATCATGTAACCAGTTGGACACCTGTGCTCACAGTTATTAGTATCAATGGCGTTTGTCTTCCTCATATGACCAGAACATTAGATAGAATCTTTCCAGTGAGGCCTGTTTAGTCTCGTTTATCTTCCACCTTTTCGTATTTTGATTCATTCGAAGGATTTCGTCAGCTCTGTGTATTAGAATCATTCCGGCCTCTTTAATTAAGTTTGGAAAGCAGTATTTTATCGTCAGTCCCTAAGCGTTGTACGGCTTTCGATCGCTCCCTTGCCAGCTGATGTTTGCACCTGGAATTTCATTCGAAGCACTGGTAACACTAACTGACAGGTTGTGACTTAGATATTCCCACAATAGGCTTCGGGGTCGTTATTATGTCGGCTAACTGATCATACGGGATTCCCAATTGAATCACAAGATCAACCTAAGTAGTTTTACGAAAAGAACAAGAAAACTTGGAGGTTAGTGCAATGCATCTAATAATTTTTGGTCCAATCTGAACCAAGAATCCTTGTGTATCTACCTTCCCGGGTTATTTTGGAACTTTGAACGTGGCACCAGGACATCGGGAATTAATGCAAAAGTAGGAATAGATGGCGTAGAGGGGTCAAAAGTTCCACACAGACGAAAAAATTGCGTCAGTTGCAACAGCGCTCAGCTATCTACCTTCCCGGGTTATTTTGGAACTTTGAACGTGGCACCAGGACATCGGGAATTAATGCAAAAGTAGGAATAGATGGCGTAGAGGGGTCAAAAGTTCCACACAGACGAAAAAATTGCGTCAGTTGCAACCGTGAGCGCTCAGCAAAATTAGCGGTTGGCTGACTTAACTTAACACGTCGTACTAAGTGGTTTAAACTCAGAGCTCTGAGTTGCTCAACTGGGTTCTTACAGCCTCTGCAATCGATAACAATCTGAATTCGTCTCATCTTTTGTGGTTTGAAGGTCGTAGGCGGATGATAAAATGACATTTTCTGAGCTGGGTAATTTGATTGCAAACATTTCCTCACCAATTGAGGTGACATGACCAGTGCGTTGTTGGGTAGCATATTGGTGCGTATCGGTGGGTTATTGGTTATCACAACAAAATTGCCCAGCTCAGCGAACAAGCCAACGACCATCTACCTTACCTGAGCTACCAGCATTTTCCTCCATGACATTTTCTTTCTATGTAGGATGTCTGTTCTCTAAAATATATAATGCGATGGCATCGCTTTAGCACATTCTTTTTTTCAAGTGGGATAACATCATAAGATGATTTATGAACCTATGTTGACCAACAGTTAGTCGTTCAATGCCTTCACATTTGATTGTGGCCTAACCTTCCTTCTGCATGAACTTAATTTCCCTCTTACTTCCTTTTCATAGAGCTTACATGATTGCTGTAAACTTTCGTATACGTCTATAATGTCTTGCGTTGTGCCACTTACAAAAAACCAAGCTGTTTATTCTGATACATTCCACGGGTATGTTTCATCGAAAAATTTTCAGCAACCTTATGAGTAGGCGTTACGTCCCATACTATGTTTCAACATCTTCTTTCGAGTGAGTAGCACCACCAAAGTCTATTGATGGCTTCAGTTATGGATTTTTCAACCTTTTTCAATGCGATTTAACCTTCACCTCATGTGGATAGTACTGTAATGCATTCTAACAATATCCATCGCACGATCCGATTTTATGTGGTACACAGCAGAGAATGTGCGATTCCAAGTCATGGAGGAAGGCATGGAATGTTTCTACGTTTAATGTAAACTTTCGTATACGTCTATAATGTCTTGCGTTGTGCCACTTACAAAAAACCAAGCTGTTTATTCTGATACATTCCACGGGTATGTTTCATCGAAAAATTTTCAGCAACCTTATGAGTAGTGCGTTACGTCCATACTATGTTTCAACATCTTCTTTCGAGTGAGTAGCACCACCAAAGTCTATTGATGGCTTCAGTTATGGATTTTTCAACCTTTTTCAATGCGATTTAACCTTCACCTCATGTGGATAGTACTGTAATGCATTCTAACAATATCCATCGCACGATCCGATTTTATGTGGTACACAGCAGAGAATGTGCGATTCCAAGTCATGGAGGAAGGCATGGAATGTTTCTACGTTTAATCAGTTCTATTTACTCTCTCAAATCATCGCCCCTCAAAACCTGTGCGTCGTGGCAGTATCTGAACGCACACGTACATGCCAATTATGTAATGCCACACCGACCATCGCCAGGTTTCATCAGCCGGGTCACTGCACATAGTAGCACAGGTGAACAAAACAAGCCACCACTTACACATCCAACCTTGTGTTCAGTATTTTCTCCCAGTTCTCTCTGCACACCAATTAACGATAACTCTTCTACGGATCCCAGTCATGGGTACGTCAGGGTTGCACCCAAAGAAGCGACCAGTAGCAAGCTACCGCTCACCCCGTCTGGTCCTTTCCGTTTCTTGGACCTCATCTTTCTATTTCCATTGGAAACAATGTTATGTGTCCATGCACTAGAAGACAAGATATTATGACAATGGTGATTGTGTTTTGCGGCTTTCACCGATCGCAAATCGCTCCTCAGTAGTGCTGAATGCGGTGGATGCTGTTACGCTAATTTGTGTACCATCTTACTGATGGGCAATCAAGCTGTCTGTACACTTGACTGCTGATACTTCTGTATCACTCGTTTATTTCATACAGTCGTTCGGTGTGCGTTTTCGACATTCTCTGGAAAGACTGAAAGAACAATCCCCCTCTCGGTCATCGGAATCCTTTTGAACCACAAGCTGGCCGATCACTGCCACCAAACTAACCTATGTGAAGCTCTGAAGGCTGCATCTTAGGATGACTTCCGCCGCAAGTTGGACGAGAAAAGCAACACCATTCATCCGGCAGAAAGATCGGTATACGGTGCTTCTGATGGGTTCACCAAATAAGCCCATGTTATTTCGAAATATTCACTGTCGCTGTTCGATGTGAAACGTCTTATTGTCTTTCTCTTCATAGTGATGACGCATGATGGTGGGGAAGATGCTTGGTACTTTGCTGATTAGACGAACCTTGCTTGGCGACAGCTTGAATAAGCTGTGTTATCTTTTTTATCCAGCCAATGTCTTATCTGACGTGCAGTTTAATGACGAAAAACAACCCGGCGTTCTCGCTGCACCCCATCCATTAGTAGTCCATCACACTTCTCTGACCTTATTCCAGATAGAACAAGAGAAAACGATATTGCTCTTATTGAGCTGAACGAAGAGATACCACTTGGCCCGCAAATAAATGTTGCCTGTTTACCTGCAATAAACGAAAAGCCTGTGCCCAATCAAAAGTGTTTTGCAGCAGGATGGGGTCACCCATCACATGGTAAGACAGTGTTCGGTATGCTTATGTTTAGAAAAACGCTGGCCTCCAGCTCTAGGTTTTCAGTAGTATATATCAGTCATGCCTATAACAACCTTTATGTTCAACCTGAAAAGAAAAGCTGCTTCAACCCATTCCCCACATTTAACATTTCATGTCGCGAGACCTAACTGAGTGATCATAAAGCACAGAAAGTAAGTTTCTCTAGCAAAAAAATTAACAGATATGCAGCCTTACGTAATCACCCTATCACACTACACAATAGGTCACGAAGCCAAACCAGTTCTAAGTTTTGGAATATATGCTATTCGAAAGTGAATCAACTAACATGATGTATTTTGTTATCTTTAAACTTTACATACCTGTAGCAGTCAACCTTAGAACAAGATTCTAGGGGGCAGTTTCAAGTCCCAACCTATATCTACTAATTAAATCTACAAAGTGAACTTGCCAACCTTCTTCAGCCTTATAAAACCAATGGAAAAGGTAGTAAATCCAATTGAGTTTTCAAGATTATCACATTAATTCTGGAACCTAGCCATGGACGATTTATCCTGATTTGTGTGGTCGCGTATGTGATGGGAAGAGGACGGTCTAATTTTTTTTTATAAAACTGCTTCATAGAGGTGCGAAACGTCCATAGGGCCAGTCTTCCCTGGAGGTCAAGTTAGCAAAAATGTCTAACTCGGTTAGCACACAACAACACAAAAGTTCAAGTCATGCAATTAGTGATGTTCACAACTCTTATAGCAGATAATTTAGTACTTAAAAATAACTCTTCGAACAGGGTTGTTATATAAGTAGCGCCAGGAAAGCCGGTTAACTGGACTATTTATTATAGCTGCAGAATGGTACGCAGTTTTCTACTGTCTGCGTTTGAACACGGATGAATAACAACCTAGTGTTGATTGCTCTCTTCAGCTTTGTGCATCCATTCTCCCTCCCTGAACAACTATTCTGACGAGTCCAAGCTAGACTGGGTAAGCGGAAAACTCAAGCTCTGCTCTGACTGGAGTTCACTAACCCTGATTGTCCCTGAGAGGAACGGGACTTGGACTGTGGTCATCTGGATTGCTGGGCAAACGACGTGTTATGACAACTCCATGTTAGACCCACCTAAATTATCTCGTCTGTATAGTGGAACATGTTCAAGAATATGCCGCTGGATTGTTTCATCCAGATCCTGGTGAGACAGAAAATTTTAGGTCATCCGTCCGACGAACATAATTTGGCAAAGTTTGCTTTAATCACGACTCAAACAGGTGGGAATCAGTTTTGCGATATGCTGTCCGGCAAAAACTGTTGTAAGACAGACCGAACTAACCACCCTTCACGGTGAAACTTACAGCAAGGTTACAACTGAAAACTAGCCACATATTTGCAACCAGCTTGACCATTGAAAATGGTCTGTATATGAGGCGGACTGAGTCCACTTCTCACCTGATCAAATCGTACAAAAACACGTATGTTTTCGGGTCACTTAACTTGCGGTAAAGGCACTGACCTAGAAATCTGAGGCCATCATTGACAAGATTCCACTACACTGTAGTTTGTCACTGCTCATAACAATCGAAAATACAAACCGATTTCTTGCGTCTACCGGACCGAATTCAAAAGATTAAGGAAGCCGAACAGTGCCATTTTAATCCAAGTCAAACCAGTCCAAGGCTTACAGCGATAAACATGACAACCGGAAATGTATGAATGACCGCTGTTATGCAACGGGGCGACCAAGACCCTCAATTGTGTCCTTTTGTACAAGCGACTGAAAACAAAGTACGACCGAGAAACACACGACAAATCTGGATTTTCAAGACTGTCTTCAGGAGTATTGCTCACTTCATAAAGTTTCTTCAGGTGCCTGCTTTCATGAATACGTCACACAGTTGGTGGAGGAAAGGTAAAAATGAGAAATACTCCAATTGGGTTAAAACGGTGACTGGTTAGTCAATGTACTGTAAGTACTCTTTTCTCTCTCTGTCTCTGTTCCTGTAAGTACAACTAGCCTCTGCGGAAAAGCCGTGAAACACTGTCTAGCGATGTACAGATGAGAATTCATCGCCCGAAGAGCCAATCAACCCGTGACCACGCGATGTGTATTTCGTGCCTGAAGGATGAGCGGTGCTATACTCTGTCTTAATGCAAACTACCAACCGAACAGTCGCGGGTTTGAGACCTCCTGGAATTTCGTGATATGCGCACTGCAGATGATTCCCACTATGGATGAAGCAGCTTTCTAGCATAAATTGGTTTCACTTATAACACAGAATCGCCATTAAAACTCCAAAACCTCTTCACACTACTAACATTTCTGTGTCAGTTGTAAGAGTAGCGGTTGAATTAGCTTGAATGAAGTCACTTTCAGTTGTTTGGGTGAGCGACATTTAATGGATTGTTTGGGTGCATTCAAAAAATCACCCTGATTGATTCAGTTTGTTTCAAGAGTTTCTTTGTATGGATCAGGCGGTCTGTGTTTCGCTGGTCACGCATCGTGTTTCTACTGTCCTAGGACGTGATGTTATACACACAGACACCTTTTCGATCAAAATTCAAGGCATAACATCCACAGGATTTTGAAAGCGACTGGAAAGGATAAAGAATGAATGATGCACGATAATGACTCTCAGAGGACAATATTTGAAACTTAGATTGCACAAGCAGTTGCTGCCCTTCTCGCTTGGAAGCATTTCGTCACTAGTCGGAGTTAAGTCAGAGGTACAGAACAGGTTAAAGTTAAGTGGTGTTCTTGTGGTACCAACTCTTTCAAGCTTGTATTTAACAGGTGGGGATTAGTGTACTGGGATTCATTGGATGTTTTCGAAGGATTGATGAACATACAGCATTTATGTTCGAACTGGATTCCCGTGTATCGGAATAATGCTTCCGAGTTCTCCCATAGTTGTCACATGCAAACTTCTCCACTTTACTCATTTTTAGTCAGCGTATTTGTGATAATCTTTAGTTCCACATCAAGGCTGTCGTCAATACAGGCCTTGTGAATCCTATTCGACAAACACAAGGTGAGTTTTCGTTTATACTTCATGCCAACATCCTCTGATTATTAATCACTTTCTTTAAGGTAAACTTGCTTATTTTGTGATTCATTACGAAGGATACAAGGGTGAAAACAAGGTCGTCTCGCGAGTGTGTCGACCTAATTTGTCCAAACATGTTGGATCACTGGGGCTAGGCTACAACTGCACGGAACTCATTCAGTTAGGATGAGTGGCCAATAAAAAGTCAGAGGATTACTTCCAAGAAGGCGCAATTAGTGGTAAAGTAATGAAATAATGTGATTAAACAGAATGCCTTGTTAGAACATTATGAGTTTGGAAGTTTATTCATCTACATAGACTTGCTAAGAACGATGCATCGCCAATCACACTGCCGCCCAGTCACCCATTGAATAACTATCTATCTGTCAACTATCAGCGGATAGGTTACGAGTTCGAATCTCTCTGGAACATCCTGCAATGCACAGATCTTCAAATATCCACTCGCAGGAAGGAAGCTCAAATTAAAATCTCCAGGCCGCCCAAAGTGTCCTCAAATTTAAAGCCCATGCTTGGACACACAGCAGGCTTCAAAATCAGTCGCTGAGATAAAATGATTACTTTAATTTCAAAAACTGTCGCTTTCCATTCAAAGCCGAACCAAGCTTTAGGCCAGTTCAATTTACGTTACATTTGTCAAAGGTGTATTCTCATTTTGTCTCGTCACTACTGATCATCTTGTTCTTCACGTTGGAAAACCACAGAAGCGAAAAATATCACAACAGTGCTACATCACGTGGAGGTCCCAGTGACAGCTCATGACAAATGCTCCAAACTCTACTCAGCTGACGGAATCGACAGAATTTCCGAATCGATGATCTGCGCCGGTTCCGAGGCGGGTGGAAAAGATGCATGTCAGGTGAGTTAAACAGTTTTTCTCTCTGCGCGGAAACCCACTAGTCGCACGATGCTCTTAGCTACAAAACTTTTCGCTCCCAAATGTTGCATTTTGCTGCATATATGCTCAAGCCAAAAGCCATCCTTATCTACTGAGAACATCACAAACGAGAGATTCAGCCGGGTTCCAGGTGAGTCTCTCGAAAAACCAAATTAGTTTGCAAATGAGTGTATATTCGCTAATTTGGTTTCAAGTAGAACATAAGGGTGGCGGAAACCCGGGGACTGCGCCTACCTGATGAGCTCCAAATAAGGCAAAACAGGTCGTGGGCTGTCGACGGATTTTCAGCAACCTTATGAGTAGTACATTACAAAGATACACCCTTATCTACTTTCATATTTTAGCGGCTCACCAAATTTTATTGTCCAGTGAAGCAATCATACATCTGGCGAGAAAAGTCTGGTGAATAGTTACCAGCGTCGCTCATACCCCACGATCCCAAGATGGGGCTCAAGTTCTGCAGTGTGACTCTGAACTCAACTGTCTGTCTGCTTTGGTCCATCAGGCACACGTCATAGCTTTCAAGAATTTAATTCCGTTGTGCGAATGCTGAAAGCCCTTTGCGCATAAACGTAAGCAATGACTTCAAATTTGTGTGTATGTTGCTCAGGTCGTCACGAATCGACCTTTCAGGAGGGTAGTAACTTGGTTCAAAGTTAACCGAAAAAAGAGGAAGAAAAAATATGTTGATTAGCGCTAGATGATACAACTTCCCAACAGAATGATCCTCGTCAGGTATCACACGATGCAATATAAATCCGTTTTTGTCTTGTAGCTTTACGCATCCGAAAAGGCTGTTTATGCACAAGATAAGAAAGGTTCCGCAATAGGATGGATTTTGCGCATTGGCAAGCAGTCGAGTTTCTTTAAACATAGGGTGGCAATCAGTGGATGACTACACCACACGAAAGGCTCTAAGTGGGAACTTCACAACGATTATAGCCGACCAGTTACATAGACGTTTAGGTGAAGTGAACTTAGAATTTCCCAAATTTAATCAAATTTTGTGGCGTCCGCTGTCACCATCCGACAAAATGTTTGTGCTACAACCTATGTAGGATGTTGTGCAGTATTATCCAAACAAAAGTAAAAATTAGCAGTAGACGGTGGAAAACTTCAGTCAAAAGTGACTTACCTTCGCAAGTCACTTCCATCTAATGCAGATGCCAACCTGAATGTGGAAATGTCAGGATTATGGACGGTTTTGCTGAAATGCACAAAACGTTTCAAGCTTACACAACGGGTTGCAAAACTTAAGTAAACTGCGCAGAATGGGAGATTTTCATGGACTGGTGCGATGCATCGTCTTCGAAGCCTTTGCTTAACGGGATACCCCAGATCAAGCCGCGTGACTGAATGTCGCCAGATGATGCACACAAGCCACATTGTCCCAAAGTGGGTTTCGTCCGTTTCAATTTGAAAATTCGCGTCTAATACAGGGATTCAAGCTAGGTTAACTTGGGCCGCGAGGCAGTGTTATTCCAAAAGGCAGGCAAAGACATTTTGCTTAGAATGACAAGTTTTCTTGGTTAAAATACTCCCCTTTCACGAATGGATGGTGTAACATGAGCTATAACGTGGCACAATTGACTAACGCGCTTTGGCAATCGCTGAAATGGTCTAGGCATTTGGTAGCAATACACCAGGGATTCCACACACTGATTTGGGTTCTTCCACGATGCTAATTCTTCTTTCAAATAAAAGATTACGCTAGAATCTTCCTTTTGTTACTTTCCTGAATTCGGCTTTTGCAGTTCACTCGAACCGGTCCAGTGGTTTGGCTGCTGTAGCATTAAACCGTGAGGTCGTGCCACTTGTACTTTTAAGCCTCGTCATCCTTTCTCTTCGTCGCCTGGGCAGAAAACGCAAAACGCAGAAATGCCAACGCATGTGTTGTTTTCACGATAGATGACGAAGTAGTTGGGGACCTTGAACCGAACAAAAATATGATCAATGGAACACAGTGATAGTGTCAGTCGACCCCTTCATTGAACAAAACATCGTGTGATTGGGCACTTGATTGGACGGTTCCACCAAAACGGTCTTGAATAAAGCAGGCTGATTTGCCGTCGCACAATAGAAGTTGATAGAGGTTATACTGATGCTATTTCGAACAAACCAGAAGAAACTTACTATCGTTCCAACTCAAAGCTGCTGGACGAGCAATTTTTCGGATAGAATCATTCCATAGTCTTTGGAATAAGTAAGGGGAGGTTCTGCAAGAGGATCTATGGAGAACGAATGTCATGGGCATGCTCCTTAGGCTGCAGAGAATACCCTTCTTTGTTTGGGAGAAATCCCTCCAGAACCTTCCAGAAATGATTCTATCACATTGATTTCTTTTTTAGAGAGAGCACAGTATATAATTCGGAATAGTCGTCGGACAAAAAATGCCCTACAAGTTGATAAACGTTTGATGACTCATAACTAAATTCAATGAATCTGAGTGATGTCGAAATGGGATTCGGTGACTGTCCATTCTGACGCTAGCGGTGGGAAATTCTAGCCTGAAGACAGCTCAGCTGATCGCAAGATTTCGTGAACATATGAGTAGCCACCTGGTTAACACCCAATGCACACTGGACCTTCAGAATTTAGCTAACATCAGACTGGAAGCAGATGACAAAATGATAACGTCATTCCCTTGTGAGTGTTTTACCAACAGCGTTCTAGAAATATTGAATTGACGATCGAAAACTACTTCAGTGACAAGAATATGGTGTCCTTTTAGGATCGCCTTGCTCATAGCACTGTGTGATATGAAGTAAGATCTCATACCTTTGTTCCGAAGTTTAGTATGTCGGAATCTTAACAGTGTCACTAACAGGTGCGATGTTTTTCTATGTTCACAAGGTCCAGCGTGCATTACGTGTTGATCAAGTTACTATTGATTCGTTCGCCAAGCCTGAAAATCAGTTTGCAAACGTTTCGTCATCAATCGGGAAACATCTAGGGGCCATACACTGACGATATCTCCTCGAATTTTGACGAAACGTTTGTGAGCTAATTGCCAAGGTCGGTGAACAAACGAAACAAATCAGTAAGAATTACATATTTCAATAAATTTTCGGTGTGTATGTATTCCTGAACTTGTGTGTTATTGGCTCGTTCTTAGCTGAAATCTGACAGGCCAGTAGGTGCTCCTCCCGTTTTGAAAATGCTGTCTGCTGGTTCGAGTTCCTAGAATCTCTGTCCTTACCATCTCATATTTATAATGGACTACATTGTAATATATGCACGGCATTTCATTGTATTGCACTCAATTATATTAAATTTGGTTGTGTTGCTCTGAATTATGTTGCATTGGGTTGAGTTGGATCATACAAACCTACCTGTATACACATGCCTTTAACATCTGACGACATACAGTATTAACCCTAAAAAGTGTTAGCAGTGACTTCATATCACCATCTTTGCACAGACCAAACTGTACAAGCATCAGTACTGAAGAACCATAAGGTTGTGTATGGATGGGTCCCATGAGTGGTGCATGAAATGTGCCTCCATTGATCGGTTGTCAACACTTGTCCACTTTTGGTCACCAACTGGGCGTGTTTATGGCTTTAGCACTGTTCACCTCATTCTCGCGAGTTTATAATATGTGCGCTTGGATGTGCATGCTACTCAGTCAAAACCGCTTGTTGCAGTACCCACTACGTTTGGGGACTCATCGGCATATTTCAGTATGACGAGTCAATCCGTAAACAGAAGCCAGTCCACCACGTCCAATATTCCAATCTCAGCGTTTTTAGCATACGTAAAGTCATCCATTTTTCCAGTTATGGTGTGTTTACTGATATCCTTGAACCAGACGAATTACGCCCAGTGACAGTAATTTCCGCTGACTTCGGTCGGATACATCAACCGACGGTGCTGTCCATATAGCCTCTCTAATAACTAGCGAAGTAAGTTTCGGCAATCTTTCAAGCAGTTATCTTATAAAAGTTAAACCTCACTCTCCCTCTCTCTCTGCATTCACCAGTTCGATTCTGGCGGACCGTTAGTTTGCAAAGTCAGTGGTCAGTGGCGCTTGATCGGCGTCGTCTCATTCGGCGTGGAGTGCGGCTTGCCGGAGTACCCCGGAGTTTACACCGACGTGTCCTACTTTGTGCCGTGGATACAGGCCATTGTCAGGGAACCATTCTGATTTCGAACACCTCATCTCTCTTCTCGCATAAACCAAGCGACTGTACTCACCTAATAATCCAATATTAAGATGGAGATACTTAATTTCCAAAGATTTGGTCTGCTTTCTCACCGGTCGGGTTTGGACACAGCAGCTCTTAACTGCAGTGGTTGCTGTCGAACTATCTTACTGGTTTACAGAACAAACGGCACAGCCGGCTAGTGCTGCGTCCATAACAGTGCTATCAACCTCTATTAGAATACGAATGCATACACACAAGCTAAAAAGTCGCTCACTAGTGTCGCACTCGTGTGTGAGGGTCACTAGCAGCATTAATCGATTGATCTTTCGTCACATATGGCCTCAACTGAGAACACATATGTACGAACACGCCAAAAGTTTGCAGGTCAGGCACTAAAACGTTTTAATCCAAAGGAACTTAACAGTCGGACGATTCCCTTGAAAAAAGTGCATATATGCGATAAACAAAGAGACATCTAGTAATTTCCGGTCACAGGGCATTGAAGGTATCGGCGAGGGCATAGCTAATAAACCATGTCGAACATTATAACGGCTGTGCTATTGTGAACTGGTTGTCCGATTCAGTGATTCACAGGGTGATAAAACTGAACCGTGTAAAGGCAAAACGAACTCGGTTTGGCAGATACATTTCCATGAGGTTGCTTATTTCCACAAAGTCATGCATACTCGAATGAAAATGACGAAACAACCGTCTTCTGAATCACAACATCGAACAGTGCGCTTTCTTTAGTCTTGTTCTGATGAGTCCACATGTTTTTCCGGGAACGTCAGATCCAATATGATGAATGGTTTATCGAAAGAATTTTCACTGTCCGGTCACTGATTATACTGTCTGAATGCATGCTGGTTTATCGAAAGAATTTTCACTGTCCGGCCACTGATTATACTGTCTGAACGCATGCCCCTAGTTACTCTTTAGCCTTGTCTCGTGCCCCACCGTTTGGATTCCACGTGCTGTCTGACTGACCTGCAGACATAACAGGCTTGCACTCTAGGCACATCTATCCAAACACGACAAGACACAATGCACTGCGGCGACGTACGTGCAGTACATCACACGGTGATGGTTCGCACCAAGTCCGTCCTGCATCAGTTGTAGTGCCGTGTTCAGTGTATCGAAAAGCTATGTCTCTCATCATCGACAATATAGCAAGTGTTCAACACCGATGCTTCGATACCGTACAACCATGAATTAGCCAGAAGCCCTATTGTGAGCAAAAGAACGAAGTGCACCTGGAACGTACACAGTGCTAACTTAGCACAATTATTCCTAGGTGCCTACACCTCCAGACACTCATTCAGGCAATCTGGATAGAAACTGACAAAGAGAACGCCATTGACATCGATTATCACCCATTTCCTAAAGTGAGGTTCAAGCGGTCCCCATCCTGGAAGGCCATTAGCACCGAAAGAATCCAAACGTTTAGTATTCTCTTTCCAACACCTGAAAACGCCTCAGTTCCGCTGCTGGAACAGGCGATATCTCACAGCTACACAAACAGTTCGTACCGTAGCCTGATACATTCATCACTTGACATCCGGGAATATACCTCTTGGGCGCCATAGATGTCTCAAATCAGCAACGCAAACATTGAAGATTCATGCGTTGAACTCATCTACTACTCTACAGTCAGAACTAATACAAATTCCAAAGTAGGTAAGTAGCGTGTTCAGCAACTGGATGTTCAGGAGCATGACCTTTGTGGGTGCGTGAGTTTGTCCATTCGAAAAGTACCAAACCACCTACCGCTTCTTCTCCTCTTTGAAGGCGAGAACGCAGTCGTTTGCCTACTCTAGATAAAAAGTGTTTTTTTTTCAGAGGCTACTTAAAAATCAACCTTCCAGCGTTCTCCTTACTAACTCGCCCATCACGAAATCAAATAGGACGGGCGGGGTTGGGCATGCACGGATGCGTTTTGGAGAACCCTCCACATACTCTCACACACCCGAAAGTCCAACCTCGCAGAGCAGCGCGAGGTTCAGTTGAGTCTCCTATGAGAACCGAATGTGTATTTTTCGAAAACTGTCCAATATAGGTTCTTAGAACATCAGATTGAGGGGAACTCAGGGCCTGTGTCTAACTAATGAGCTCCAAGAAGGGTGAAACCGGTTGTGGGTTATCGAGAAGTTTTCAACATCCTCATGAGTACGTCTAAACAAAGTGTTGCAATATCTCGAAGGTCGTACCAAATGAAACATGAGACGGCCTGGCGAAGTGAAATCAGTTGAAGCGGACCATTGCAAACGAGAGTCCCAGCTGGAAACAGTTGAATATCCTGTGGAAATCACATTCCCATGCAAAAGTGTACAATTACAAGAGAAATTACTGTTGACAAACCTCTGTGGCATTCCTCGCTGGGCAAGCGTTACATGTCAAGGAGAACAGACCTGTCAACCGAGTCAAACGCTCCTTGGAGATCTAGAACTCCTAAATCTGTAGGTCATTTATACGTAAGGCGTTCCTGTAACACCTGATGGAATGTGAAGTTCCGGTCAACGCAACCCCTACCAGGCCTGAGTCACTCTGATCACCCTGTGAGTGCCGCAATTGCTACGAGCCCCTTTTTTAGAAAAAAGGGCATTACACAAATCCTCCCCAGTTGTCGTTTCCCTAGATTCGGGCAAGTTGATCAGGCTGGCACTGACTGAGAACTTCATTCTCATCCTTGGACAATGCGGTTGAATTTTCCATGTCGAATGGTGTGTGCTCTCTCTCATCACCCTCTTAGGTTGAATTTTCCATGTCGAATGGTGTGTGACAAAGTTGCTCTCTCTCATCACCCTCTTCAGCTTCGTCACTTCCGTTTTTCCTGAAACATCCCGGCCTGCCTCAAACTTCGGGGATCTGATTGCTCCCAGGACGCCTCCTCACAGAACCTGAGTACTCCAACGATATCGTTCTCCTTGCTTCAGAGACTAATGATTCAGGTCTTTCTGAGTAGCTTAAGGAGTTCTGCCCCACAGTTTGATATGTACTTCAATCCTACAAAGTGTAAAGTGCTCCTGCAAAACTGAGTGGGATTGAACCCCAACCTCACACTTGCAGACAAGCCAAGCAGTGTGGTATCTAAGCTGTTCACGGAAAGCTGTATGAGTCGCTGAAGAGATTACCTCTTTAACGGAGAAGACAATAGCAGTTTCTGCCAGCACCTCACACCTATGAGAGGGATTATGTCAATTTATGTCCAGGGCATAGCATAAACTGCGGCAATGTATCAGACATGTGATCTCTACACGCAGATGATGTAGGAAAACTCTTGGCTTTTTACCGCCGGTGTCATCGAAGCACTGATCTGGTCGGGTGAAAACATCGGATTAACAGTACTGAGTTAAGCTACATAATTTTAGGATGTATGAGCTATTCAAGCTCCGTAGGTTACGCCGAATAGGACATAAGATTAACACGTCAGTAAACCACGTACCGCGCAGAGAGACTTTTGCCAAACCCTGTTCTGAACTGAGTCGAGTGAGAGGTGACTAACCTTTACCCTATCAAGAAGGTATGAAAGCATTAACCAGAACTTCGTAAAGCTGTCAGCTTGACGCGGTGCTTGATAGTGAGTGCTGTAATGATCTCGCGCGTTACATTGGCTGGATCCTCGTTGCACAAGGTTCAACCATGCCAGGAAGGCCGAAAAGAAACAGCCAACGAAGAAGAGCGAGTGATCGTATTAGGAAGTTTGGGGTTTAAGTAGTATTGTTGGCTAAGCTGAGAGTGTGAATGTGGTAAGGTGTTTCCCCCAGGCGACTAGATTGTCCATATTTACTGTACCAGCGATGCTGCGTCCACCGGAGGAGGGAAGGTTATAAAAGACCTTCGGCAGGTTACCCAATACGGTCGGAGCTCATGTTAACCTGGCCACCCGCCCAGTGTGGCTTCGAACACATCTACTGTGCACGGCAGTAACTACACCTTATCCGCTGTGCCCTCTGGCCAATCACGCACCCTGCAGCCTGACAGGTTGGACAGTTTAGTCATCGCCTCCGAGAAGAGTTCCTAAAATAACCTACTGACAACTGTCTCATGGGGTCAAACTTTTGTGTCACGGGATAAGAGAGGGTTCCCCGAACAAGACACAATATCCCCTTGATGCCTCGAATCAAAGATTCAAGGTCGGGTATCTCAGATAAACCTTCTTCCTCGGCCTGGACGACCGTCAAGTATACTTCACGGTAAGTGATACGTATCACTTGCCCGCACAGTTCTGAGTCCACCGATATCCCTCCTCAACCCCGTCCCACCACACCAGCAAAGGTTGCTGGATCATTTGATTGCCAGTTTTCTGACCTATGGACCTTACACACGCCCCTGCAGGTTAATGATAAAAAATAACGCTTTGATAAATCCATGGGATCCTTTCTAAGGGTTTTCAGCGTCAATACGCCGAGTCAAATTGACAAACAGGTAATGCGTGCCCAGGACCTATACTATCTTAGGATTGGTGTATGTTGTGTCTCTAAAACATGCATAGAAGATCCAAGCGCGGGCAAGCATCTCAGAACGCCAAGGACGAACTCAGCTCTTTCACATTAAACTCTCCGTGTGGGATTTCCACTCAGATCCAGAGCTGAAAGCAAGTTGCTGGTTCCAGTGAACAATCGCCTTTGAGCCATTCAGTCATCAAACTCAATGAATTCCAACACCACTTGACATTAGAAACCAGTGTGTTTGTAGTGCCGGCATAGGCCTAAACGGACTGCAGTTCTATTGCTGAAAAAGGTACTTTCTATTGGGACTTATCAAAGCTCATTCATCAAGCAGGAAGCACTGACATTGTGACCACGTGCACCGTTTAACCTGAAGGCCACCACGTCCAAATCAACCGTGGTCCCAGTTGGATTACATGGTTATCAGCTAGCGGTCGAGAGATACAACTCAAGACTGCCGATCCGCCTGAGTCACTCAACTTGATTCCGAGCACGGCTGACAGTTCGCTTTCTTTTAGGCCCTTACAAATCAGCCAGAAGCGCACCAATCCACCACCTTCATAGAACTACCATACCTCAGTAGTATCGATCTGCGCCACCTACATAGTCTCAACTCATGATTAGCCAACTGTCGCGCTGACAACTACCACATCCCTGGATGGTGATCCCGTGACTCAATACATCGGGGGCTAATGACATTGGCGAAAATGGCACAATTGTACAGTCGGTAGCATTCCTGCGTCAAAGCTGTCACCTTAATATGTAGTTGTCCAATTTCCCGTCCCGTCCAATAAGTAGACTGATTCAATGCCAGCAACCAACATACCCATGCTACACGGTTTGCGGATGAAAAACTGAACCGACCTGAAACGGTACATCCAGCGACCAAAATGAGTAGTGCTTAAAATGCTGATGACTGCCTTCTTTGTGAGGGAAATTCTCTGATGTTGCGAACAAAGCTCAACAGTGTACAATTTATCATCCATCACAGCAACATAGTATAACGTCTAAAATATGCGGTATGAAGGAAGCTTCTTATTTTAAACACCCACCGTAATAAAGCCTCACACTTAACCATGTAAGAATGAGACAACGCACTGGAGGGTGATCTGCACACATCGTAGAAAATTGCTACGAGATGTCATCATCAACATTATCAGCTGTAAGTGTCGCCTTCTTGTCATACAGGGGTTGCAGCTGACACAGTTTCCTCCGCCGATGATTTGGGGAGGTGGGGTAGATAGCTACACATTGGAGGCGGAAGGTGATATAACCGATGACTAAATGCGGGATTGTCAGTGAACTTTTAAGTCGTAAGATTGATTCTACCACAGCCCTCGGTCTTTCCTTAGGCTCTTCACTACTTGGCGTTTGAGAGATTTGCGTGCATCGTCGTATCCGATGGCTTCCGATGTGGATTTCCTGGCATCATTCAAGGATTGAGGTCTCGAAGAGATCCAGTGTTCTTGTGGTCGAATAGAAGCCGGACAGAGAGCGCTGAATGCCGATAGCAGAGCAGCTTTCACATTTTACCATGCTTGATTCAATACAAGCACAGTATTGGTTTACTTTGAAGAGTTCGGCTAGCTCAGATGGAAACTAATGCTGTTCAAAGATGGTGGTAAGCTGTTGGCTAACTTGCAAGGCCCTGAGGGAAAACGAAATTCGGGCGTGCATGCAAGTTGTGTGACCCAGAAGGAACGACAGCCTTGAACTGTAGCTCTCCACCGGTGACTGATGGCCAAGTGATCCAACTGGGCCCAAGATTGATTTGCAGTTGGTGAACGTTAGGCTACCAAATGTTCAGTGGCCCTGCCCCCAAGCCTGAGACTCAAAATTCTGACATGCTCAGCTGCAGGGTGTTGGCCTAACCAGAGGACCTAGGGGGTAAGCCAATGCTGTCTCACTCCTGATTCGGAGTTTTCTAACCCTCCTTGGGGGTGCAGTTGGTGAACGTTAGGCTACCAAATGTTCAGTGGCCCTGCCCCCAAGCCTGAGACTCAAAATTCTGACATGCTCAGCTGCAGGGTGTTGGCCTAACCAGAGGACCTAGGGGGTAAGCCAATGCTGTCTCACTCCTGATTCGGAGTTTTCTAACCCGTCCTTCCTTGGGGGAAGGCACATCGCTGCTTCGATGAATATAGACATACTGGTCTCCCGGTAGAAACATCTTACTGCCTCCAGATCCCACTCGCAGGGAACAGTACGATTTTGTCCCCAGACCGTCTCGTAGCGCGAGTATCCGTAGTACGCGATCTCGCTGCTCTTGGTCTGACTGTGTCAACCGAGTAGAACCTTTGTCAGCATCTTTTCAGGTTCCAGCTGACATGGACGAATCAATACATAAGCTAGTCAAAATGAGATGGAAAATCACAAGGGTGTAGATCAGAGTCATTAAGGATCAAGCCGAAATTCAGGGCCACTAGGGTTAGTCGACTGGTTCAGCGCCGCCTTCGTATAAATGGCAGTAAAGTCGACATGATTAGGTCTCGGCCAGCGCTTACGAGTCGAACATGATTTCTCCAATTTTCAGTACTTCAATTTTGGTTCTCCACAGATAATACCGAAACCACTTATGCGAGGTCGAGTGGGCTCCAGCAATGAGTTGCTTGTCGATTTTCAAACTCCTTTGTCAGCTAGCCAAACATGAACCCGGCCAACACGTCTAGCCCAACAACGGGAACACACACGGATGATTCCATTTTTCGAAATCGAATTTCTTGTTTCATGATATAGTTTTTAACATCCCGTTTGAGGCCCGGTGACTGTCCGGTGAGGAAAAACAGCGCCAACTATGCGTTTGATCCTCTCAGTCACCATCTGTCTGAACGACCGATCAAAGTACCTTCTTGAAGTAGGCGTAGTTCTCTAGTTCCGCTAGAACCTCTGGGTGCTTCAATCCATGCGGCTTAAGGGAACAGTAAGGTAAACATCACTGCAAGTTGGGAAGGTGTTAATTGAGCCAACCTACAAATCGCTTCTGTTTAGTTTCGGGTTATGAAACAAACCCATTCAAGGTGTAACTCTAAAATGCACTTGCGCACATTTCTAACTTATTTTGCAGTCCCATCAAAAGCAACATCGGAACTAGAAGCCTGCACAGATGCGGCTTCGATTACCGAATTGCAATGCCCTCAGTATATTCTAGAACTCTGTTGTTTGCAGTTTTGAACATGATATCAAATGCGGCCGATGGATAGATATGTTTGTTCTCAACCAGATAACAGTCAACTGATGATGAATACCTTGATTCTGTTTGGCTTTGTATCTGTTCATCCGATTGATCCAGCTGCCATTGTGCTCCGAACAGTACATGCTACCTCACGCCAAGTGGTAGTTACTGTTGTGCTATGCTTAGGTAGGTGGCTGTATACCTACACCTGAATCGGAACATGATGTTGGGTTTGGCTAACGATGGTAATGGAAACTTGGCTGGTTGTACCGGAAAGCGATCTGTCTTGTGGGCAGACTGGCCTGTCCCAATATCAGATCCTCTGCATTGCAGCCGTCATACGATCTCGTCTCGTATGAACGATAGATCAATGAGAATGTCAAGTCTGGGACTGTGTTGACGCCGTAAGACTCGATAATTTTCTACCTGAAATGTCACTACAAATCAATCAGGCTCGGTTATGCAAAGATTTGACTGTACTACATATTGCGCAATCCGATTGAGGTCTCTGATTGACCTAGTGACTGAATTTATATTGTATTCAGCAGTGTAAACAGCAGAGTTCTGGAAGTTGCTGAGGCCATTTCTAGTCAGATGGAAGCTGGATCCCTGTAAGTAAAAACAGCTTTTAGGTTCGTTGGCACAAACGCGGTAAATCACAGAGAAAACCTTTGAGATGATTTTTGTCCCTTTTAAATTTATTGATTGGTGTCATCTGTGGTACGCGCCTCAAGATACACAGAGAAATCAATCTGGAATACCTTCTAGAACTGTGCTGTTCTGTTTCATTTTCCAGGTTGTTCTGCGGAAAAGCTGTTTTACGGCTCCCTGAATTCATAGAAATACGGTGATTTACTGAAGGCCTAGGTCCAACTTAGCCGCAAAATTCCCATTGAAACATAAGATCAGATTCGGCAATACTTTTATCCTTTCTAATCGCAATTTATCCACATGGGTGAAACTTTTAGAAGGGTTATAGGCACCCATTTCCCCGAAGGTTCATGAGATGCACACTACTGACGAACCCTGACAATAGAACAGTTGTGTGAGGTCCTGATTACCCAAAAGAACTCATTCACGCACACGTAGCGAACCAGGGACGTAAATGAAAGCGAATGACATTTCAGGCTCATTGTCTGATCATCGTACCCTGTCGGTCCCGTTTCTAGCTTTGTAAAGGTGACACTAAACTGGTGCTTTACACGCGGTCGTTCCCCCTTTTACTAGCACGGTCCAGCTAGAATACACATCACCCGTCAGCCAGTAGACGGACTTCTCAAGATTCTTTTTGCTGAAAGGTGCTGGCCTCTAGCAAGCAATTAAACCAAGATCTGAAGATTTATTTACTCGGTCTAGCAGGTGCGTCATAAGTTACTAAGGAACTCACTGCTAGTAAGGAGTAAGAATCATTTATAGCTTCCCACACCTATCTCTCTCTCAAGATTACCAAGCCGTATGTTTGGAGGTCTTCCTCAGTGATAGGGCAAGACTAGGAACCTGAACATCAAGCTATCGAATTCTGCTGCATTCGGCCACGGGCAGCCGAACAGTAGTGCTCTCATTTAGACAAGATATAGCACCACTTATCCTTCAATCGCAGAAACCACGGCATTTGATCATAGGAGGAGTGAAAACGGAAGGTTCGTGGCTCGAACCCGACCTCTGCCTCTCGACTTCCCCTGTCTAGGCTTGGGCAACCTGGCAGTGTCCCAGCCCTCGTGCAACTTTAAGGTGGCATGGCAGTTAGGCACCGAAAGGGTGATACAGCTGAATGATTTTTTATGGGTGAAACTCCTACCTGAGAAGACGTTACTCGAAAAACCAGTCGTACATGACCACATGATGCGGATTGTGTGCTTGAAAAGAGTGGTGCTATAATCTGTCTAAGTGAGAGGCAATGGTATTGGTGTTCAGGCCGAACGAACAACTGAAAGGTCACAGGTTCCATAATTCGAGTTTCGCGATATGCGCAGAGTTCATCAATGCGAATGAAAAAGCTGTGGTGTTCCTCAGATTCGCTTCACTGACACCACAAAATCTCAACTGCAAATGATCAAATCTCCACACAATAACAATGACTCATTCAGCCAATCCGGAGAGATAAGCTTACAGCAAAAAGCGCACTGCCACCGATCACCAGCCATATCTTGCACAGCGAAGATCACGCAGACCGTATCCAGGAAGTCAAGTCTTATAGCCAGTACGCAATTTCCGAAATCGCTTTCATATTCTATTATCTGCTGACGTCGATGAGGATGCACTGCTATTGTTGGTGGTGGTGATCTCCACTTAAGTCAACAGTACATAGAAACCGAAAAGACAAGTTACAAGACAAGAAGGCAGCTACTAGGGTATGATTGAGAGTATAAATAAGTGCACAAATCGACGACGGAGGAGTCAAGTCTAATTCGTTTTCTTCGGTTCGATTATCAAAGGTCCGACATTATCTCCGGTTTCCTCGTTGTGTTTGCAGTGGGATCCATCGCAATAGGGGAACTAAATGAGAGGAATATTCACTTGATTGAACTACTCACCTTGGAGGAACGCCAGCAACGACAGAAGCACTTTTTGTCCGTTATTGACTCAATGTCCACTATATCAACACATTTGTTCACATGTTTGTTGATATCCAAATTCACTAAGGACTTCTTCTTTCCCAAATGCAACAAACATGTGGTGTAAACAGAGTAGCCTACAGCTGTCGTTATCGCACTGAAAACGGTCAGCCCAATGATATCCTTGACTGGTAAAAGTTAGAAACGTTAGCGATTTAAATGCAACGTACAACCAAGATGGAATATTCCCCCGAATGTTTTTGGAATTGGAACAGAGCTGAGCAGATTTGACGTGTGTACGCACACAAGATCATGAAGAAAATTCATCTTGCTCTATTGCCAATGGTGAGCAGCTAAAAAGGATAGGAGAAGCACTGAGACCGGTATTCGTAATCTGTTATCACAGTGATCGACAACGCTGGCAGCAACACGCTATTAATACATACGGGCGCCTAACTGTCATAAAACCGTGAGAGGAAACCTCAGTAAAAAGTGGAAACAAAAGGGAAGGGTTGGGAACCCGATCGAGAATAAAGTAAGCACACCTTTGGATCGCATTAAAATGAAAGCCTGTAAGCTCATGTTGAGGTAAAGCGCCACCACTCTCCAAGGAAGATGAGTATGTGGCCATGCAATGAATACTGCAGTCGTGGAGCGGGATGGATGACGCTTGGCAAAACCATGCAATGAATACTGCAGTCGTGGAGCGGGATGGATGACGTATGACTTGGCAGAAGGGTGTGAAAGATGTTACGAAGAGTTTGGGTGTTGTTGGTATAGTGCCCATTTCACGACGGGGACCGAGTGCTCTGCTGCGCTTGGTTGAGACACTGCGAGATATGGGGGCGGATTGATATCAATGGCTTTCATGTTGTCATTTTCTTTCCAGATTACCTGACCGAGCGCCCGGAGATGTAGGCACCTTAAAATGCATGCGATAGACTAGTACCAAGTAATCTCACTCAATTACCCCATTCTTTTCCTTTCGTTAACATTCACCTGCAGCACCCTTTCGGTGTTTAACCGCTACGCTACCAAAGGGAAGCACGAGACAGTTCTTTGTGAACTTTCAGTGGCCTGGAGGCATGAGAATAGGAAGCGCAAGGAGTGGTTACCAAACTCAAGATATTCCTCTCTGGACCAATTTATTCACATAATGTCGAGTAAAACTGTGCCCGTCGGTGGGAGTGAGGCCGCTCAAGAACATGGTTTGAAGACATGGTCAATGCACCCCATGCCATGTCGAAATTCTGCTTGCTGCTCTCGAAATTACGTCTCGTGCGCCTAAGTTAGGCGTCCCCAAAGGCCATATTATAACCAGGTAGACTTAAAAATAGTTCAGATGTAGCACCATTTCGGCGCCTAGCTGCCATGCCACCAGAAGGAAGCACGAAGGCTGGGATACTGCCAGGTTACTCAAGCCTAGACAGGAGAAGTCGAGAGGCAGAAAGCGTTCAGCTGTAGCACCCTTCCGGTGCCTAGCTGCCATGCCACCCGAAAGAAGCACGAGGGCTGGGATACTGCCAGGTTGCCCAAGCCTAGACAGGGGAAGTCGAGAGGCAGAGGTCGGGTTCGAACAGCAGACCCACCGGTCATTCGCACTCTAACGACTGAGCCATCTCACCGGGGAGAATTATACCCATGCGGTTGGAACACGGCAGCGAATGAGCGTACTTCGGGTGACTTAATGAATTGCGCCCTTCCACAAAAACAATTTTCCATTACCTCCACAGAGATTGACTCAGGCTACTTTAAGGAGTTGGACAGCATGCATACTGACGAACCATCCAACATGGTAGAAAATAAGTAAAGCTCGATAAGTGCTCGGTTGTATCCAGGTGTAGTCCATGGCCGTCGTTGTAATTGGACCGGGACACCACCATGGCACCCAGACCCAGAAAGGACGATTTGGGTTCTCAACCAGAGTCTAGCTCAAAATTCCAACCATAAGCCAGCGGAAGTTGGTGTAAGATTATCAAAGGGGTCGAATTTATAAGGGACAAGAACAAAACCGACCCGGGAAACTTGGGCAAAAGCCTCGATCCTGTGTATCAATCCGTGAATCCGTGAAAGATTATCAAAGGGGTCGATATTTATAAGGAGCAAGTCGCCTCACATGTTCAAACCCCCAATCTGGAGGATCAGGAGACTTGGTCATTCAGACCTACATCCACTGTCAACATGGTATGGGAGGCTCTGTGAGTGTCATATGAACTCTTCCCAGTATGGCTCAATGGGGTATGAAGGTGTACAAGCTGTCACCCCGCAGAAAGGCTGTCTCCGTGACGCATCATCGTGCCATGTGCCCGATGTGGCTCAGGACGCGTCCGCTGTGTACTGTAGCATCCGGAGTGGGACATCTATGCTTTACTCCCTGCGTCAGCACCTTGTGGCCAACCAGGTCCAGCCAGTAGATCATCGGCTTTGGGCCCGCTTCCCCAAGAACAACAATACGCAGTCTCGCAGGTAGATGGTCCTCAAACAAAGTTCTACATCCTCCTTGCTTGTCGCCTTGTTGAACAAACTCCAGTCAAAGGCTCAAGTGGTGCGACCCCACCAAACGACTTTCTTCGGCTTGGCTAATCACGAAGGATTATTCGCCCTGGCGGCTTTTCGTTTACTGGCCCTCAGCAATACCACGTCTAGCAGCACACGCAGTCCAAAATGACCGAGTTTTCCGGTCATACGACGATTATATAGCCGCCAAATAACCACCTTTTATGGTTAACAGATGGTTATTTGCACCAAGATAACCACCAAATAACCGAGTTTTCCGGTTATTGCTCGGTTAAATAACCGACAAATAACTGTCTGTTTGGAAGGTACCTTCCAAATGACGCGTTGCTTCCAGTCGGTTAATTATTATTTCTCATCTAAATCATCACACAGCAAAAAAAATAAAATCGTTCTAAACTCGGAGGACCTGAGCTGCGCTGAGGTCTCTACTGTCAACACTCTTCATCAAGTGCGTCAGAAGGCAGCCGAAACACCGCACTGAGCGGACGGATGTCATACCTACGGACAACAGACCAAGTGTAGCTGTGCCCTGATTGGTCAGTGACAGGCAATCAGAATCCAGCATTTACATCTTGGCCATTCATGGCTCCTCATAAAGATTCTAGCGTATCCTTATGAGACCTCTCGTGGTAGCACTCGTAGTAAGTTTCCTTCATCTCCAAAAAAGACTGTCTCAGGCTACTTTTGGCAGTGGAACATCATGCCCGCCGACGAACCATCCACCGATTCACGGATGGATATACAGGATCGGGGCTTCCACCAAACTTCCGGGGCAGGTTGTTGTTCAGGTTGTTGTCGTTCAGCGGCTTCTGTTCACTTGAAGGAATAGGCAGAAATCCTGCCAGAGCCAAGACTCAGATAAAAAAAGTACCCTGGACTGGGTAATAACTGCAGCGCGAACAACCTTCTGGACAAGGTTATTCCACACAAAATCTCCGCAAAATGAGAGAAAAAACTGTTGCGTAAAGTTGTGCGCCCTGAAACTGAAAATCTTCCGGTTGGCCGGAGCTTGTTCAAAAGGGTATAAGTAAGTAGTAGGTCTCTCCGAGGTGACGGTATTCCGGCGGATGTGGGCCAAGCACTGCGGGATATCTTCCAGTCCACAGACTTAAGGCCGGTAACCATTTTCGTAGCTCAATGGGGGTTGTGTTCCCAGTGCGTCTTGAGCAGACAACTTGGTTGGCGCATCCAACAAATGGTCCGACGTAGGCCCCAAGGAATATCTGGAACTCCTTGCAAGTAATATGGGGGAAGCTTCGCCGAATCATCCGTTGAACAGCGATAGCTTTTTGAGCCGACTTTTCATGGTGAAGTTGGAGGGCACGTTTGAAGCGAATAAATCCGTAACTAAACCCATTTTAGTATCCACCCTCCTGGTGTCCATTCCCACCATGGATGATAAAAGTGCTCGCTGAGTCGCTTTCTAATGGGATATTAACGCAGTTTTCGTCATTCAGGGGAACAGTTCAGTCCAAAGGCCACTGATTTTCAGTGTCTACATTCAATTGGAGGGCGCTTTATTTGAGAGTGTCCAGCGAGCTGCCACGAAAATGTTTACTGGCCTTAAATTCGACGGAACTTAATTATTACTTATGCCCTGTTTGAACAAAGCTTGGCCAACAGGTTTTTCACCGTTGACCCAGCAAACACACGGCGGGGACATAGTAAGAAAATTTTCAAGTTCAGAGCGCACACATTCATCAGACTAAATTTTTCTTATTTTGGGTAGTATCTGCGTGGAATCATCTTCTTCCGACGGTTGTTTAGCTCCTCCTGGAACCCATTTTAAAGCACCATTAGACATTTATTTATGCGAATCCTCCCGCTGGCAAGCATACTGCCCCGCACTGAGAACATAAAGAGCAGTGCTACACCCTATTCTCACTTGTGCCTTTCAGCTGAACAGCAACCGCTGAACGACAAGAACAAAACCGATCTGAAACACTTGGGCAAAGGCCTCAATCCAGCACATCAATTCGTGAATTCGTGAACTCACGGGTTTTAATTCGTCCGCAAAAGCTAGACGTTGGATGTTTGGGATCATCGTAAGCAGAAGTGGTCCCATAACAGAGCCCTGAGGAACTGCAATGGAGGCCGGCCCCGCAGCAAGTAGATCGAGCTCACTTTCCCTCGGAATGTTTTATCTTATAAGGACGACTTGAACCAGCGTAAAATTCTGCTTTGGATCCCGCAAGACTTGTGTTTATGGAGCAGCGGAGCTTATGAGACTCGAATGAATGATCCTGAGAAATCGAAAAATATGGCATCTGATATGAGTCTTTAGTCCTTAGCTTGGGTTAGATTGTCCACGAGTACGAGAATGTTCGCTAGGCGAGAAAGGTTTGGACATATCAATTTATTGGTACTGAGGTGACTTAGGATTGCCCGCTTCATAATGAATTCCATCACCTTGCACGGTACAGTGGATAGGCTAACAGACATGTGGTTGCCAACCGACACTCGGCCACCCGTCTTTTAGACATGTGTGACAATTTCCTCCTTCCAAGCAGAGGGATGGTTGCCTTCATCAAGCCAAGTAGACATGCTTTGCTAGTGAGAGTGGCGCTTCCTTCTGAATCCCCGGATGGACATCGTATGACCCCAACACACCTGTCTTTTTCAAGAGTTGAAGAACGTCAGTGAAGACCACGTTGGTTGTAGTTAGTTAGTTGCAGTTAGTTATAGTTACTGCCTGACAAAATTAAACATAATGATGTCGCTAGGTCAGAATAAGGGCCTTCATATTGTTCAATACAGATCTCAGATACCACTGCTGGGTCGCTTGTAAGTTTCCCGTTTCTGTCTCTCAG